CTTGATATATGTAAATTTACTACCATAACATTTTTATAGCTTTCATTTTTTTGAGAAGAAATCTTTGCATAAATATTCTAATTCTAGAATAATAAGTAATCTTCACATATACAAACTGGCTTGGTTTTCAACTAGCTTTCCAACTGATTATCTGTAGCTGGAGTTGATCAAATTTTTCTTTTAAGGGCCAGATAGTAAATATTTTAGGCTTTGTGGGACATACAGTATCTGTCTCAACTACTCAACTCTGCCATTGTAGAGCAAAAACAGACCAATACTACAGAAATGAGTGAGTATGTCTGTGTTCCAATAAAACTTTTTTTATGAAACAAAAACAGATGAGTGGCTAGATTTGGCCCACAGGCTATAGTTTGCTGACACCTGACACCTCTAGTCATAGAGCTAGATTGAGTATAATTTCATTTAAATAGTATTTATGGAAATGGTTTTGTTAGAGCTAGACAAAAATATTTCATGATAGTGATTTAGCGCTACCCCTTTAGCATATATGTAATTTTCCTGAAGGTCGCTTTTAACTGAGTATTATTTTCAATCTTTACAATGTCTTTAGTTCTTTAATATACAAAAAACTTTAATAAACTTTATGATTCTTACCTTTATATTCTCATAGCACTCATATTTGATTTCTATGTATTTTGCAGATACTTGACTCTGGATTCTTACATAAATATTTCCTGCCTCCTTCCAAACTGACTGCAAGAGAGAAATTTAGCTATTTGATTTATTTAAAACCAAAAGGATTACAATGGATAATTTATCTGTAGGTTATATTTTTACTATTATCCAAAGCCAAATGATTTTCATTCAATTCCAACAATAACTGACAAAAAATCAGTATGATATAGTTTTATATGTTTTATCGATGAAGATTATTCTTAAGATTTGTTCACCCTATTTATTACATAATCAAGAATAGGTTGTTCAGTTCAGTATTATTGAGTATCCTCTATTTGTCAGGCTGTGTTAAGCATAGGTGAATCAAAATGAATGATTTTTTCCCTTTGAGTCTAATGTAGTGGAGGAGATGAATACTTCTACAACTTTAATAGCAGTAGAAGAGTACAGAAGGAGTAGGGGTTAATTTTGCCCAGAAGGCAGGATAGAGAAGTTAATACAGAGAAAACCCCATATCATATGGACCCAAAAGATGTATAGACTTTTGACAAATGAGGAATGACCATAACAGGTAGAGAGAGTACCATGAACCAGGGCATGAAACTGAAAGTGCATAGCATGTTATAGAGAAAGAAGGGTGTAGGCAGGTGTTAGGACTGGAAAAACAGGTTGGAAACAGATTAGTAAGGGTCTTAAATGCCATGTCAAAGAGTTTGGAGTTTATTTTCCAGGCAATGAGTAGACATCAAAAAAAAAAAAAGTGGGGGAGCATGTTCATTTCTTTGGCATCGTATTTAACTGGATGGATTCAAATTGTGTGAGACCAAAGCAGAAAGACTAGAAAAGAGGTGATCAAAATATTTCAAAAAAGAAATAATGAAAATCCAATGAACTCAGTGGAAATTAAAATGGAGAAGAAAGTAAATGGATTAGAGAGACATTTCAGAGATAGAATCAATAATCCTATTACTAGATAACGGAAGTAAAAGGTAAGGAAGAATGGAGAAGTCATTGGTGACTCCAAGATTTCTGCTTGGCTAACTACCAAGAGTGGCAATAAAGGGAGGGAGGCAGTTTGGGACAAGGGAGAAGGATAGTGAGTTCCACTTTACACAGAATGAAGTGCATTCAGATGGAAATATTTGGTCAACAGTTAGAAATACAGACATAGAACTCAGGAGGGAGCCTGAAACAAAGTCGCACATTTGGAGGTTGGCTATGCAGAGATAATGCTTGATTCTGTTGGAGCAGGTTGGATAATCTAGGCAGAAATTAGGGTGAGAGAAAAGGAGGTCCAAGGATGAAACTTCATATAACACCTGCATTTGAAGAATAAGAAGCTAAACAAGTAAGTCAATTGAAGTAAGAAAAAAAATAGAGTATAGTTGTTTAGCGGAAGTCAATGTAGGTGTGGGAAGTACTGAAAAAGAAATTTTCAGGGATAAAATAAAGTGAGAACTGAGAAGAAATCAATGGCTTAACTGTATTAAAGCTATTCTGTAGGTGGTGGTGGCAGAGTCAGATTTCAGTGCGCTGAGGAAGAGGGTGTATAAAATGTCGACTCTTCAACAATATTTACTAGAGAAGAGAAAAATCTGGGGAATGTATCTTGAAGGAAGCAAGTTTTTTTGTGGATGAATGGTTTTGAGTATGTTTGTAGGCTAAAAAGAGTTAAGCTACTTTTTATTTAGGAAAAATGGTATATTTTTTAATGTAAGTTGTTACATTGCATCTTAAAAATTTATTGCATACATATATTTCCTATATGTATATGCTGTAAAATATCAGCAAATAACATTTTTTGGTATTTACAAAGGACTTTCATGTACCTTACCTCATTTTACCTTTATGGCTACTCTGAAATACATAGGTGGAATGTTACCCCTTTTTTTTAGATGAGAAAACTGAGCCTCACCGAGGTGGAAGTCAAAGTCACATAACTTGTGATGAAGTAAGATTTGAACATTACATGTTATGACTCCAGATCTCCTTTCAGATTTTACAGTTAATGAAAACTATCTAAATTATATTTTTATTTTTAACTTTTTGTTAACATCACTTATTCATACATTCTGTCAGAATTTTGTTGAGGTACTGGATAAGTTAAAAAAATATAGTTGTAGCCCTCAAGATGTTTAATATCCAGTGAAAAGTGATAGTCAATAAACCAGCAATCTCAATACTGTGTGTTGTGAGGTTGCTACAATCTGTTAACCTTGTTTACTTTAATTCTCTGCATTCCCATAGCCCAGTGTGAAATTTAAATAAAATACCTCATTTCTTCCAATTCAGGGAAGGCATTAAACACAAAGTAAATGATAGAAATTTTGAACTTGTGCAAAATATTATTTTTTGTAATGATAACAATAAAGATTAAGGAATAATTTCACATATTGAGAAAGGTTGATAACTTTCTGATTCTTCACTGTGCCTTATTTTGTTTGAAGTCTATAAATTTACAGAGTGTTAGGCAGATATATTACACTTTATGTACCACAACATTCTAAAACCAAATAAAAATTATTTTTGATTATTTATGATTTCAGATTATTTGTGCCAAAGTATATGATGAAAAATTGTCTCTTTGTTGTTTTGCTGAGTGAAAAGTATTGCTTCAGTAACTCAGAAACAGAACTACTAGGTTATTAAATAATCATATCTTACTGCTTCTATAACACACCTGTCACTCTGAAGCATTTGTATATAGATTTCTTGAACTTTTGGAATACAACAACAATGATGATTTCTAGTAAGTTAAGGTTTATTTTTTAATCTAAGCACTGCTACTAACTACACAGATGAAATATTCTTTGCTATTTTATTAGTA